CTTAACAAAAACTTAACAAAGGGGATGCTAGGGCATGGGGGCCATTGCTTTAAAATCAGTAACTAAAGGAAAAGAACCAGACAGTTGCCCTGCTTTCAAAGCAAATTGTAAGAGGACCACTAAAAGGTTGATAAGTGAGAAATCTCTTGAGACAGAATTCTAGCAAATGAATGGCACCCCAGGGGACCAGTCCTTGCCCAGACTGTCCTGTGTACACAGCACTATGACACCGTGGTGACCAGGGCAGCAAGCTAATCAGGCAGCCTGGAGGACTCCACAGGGTAGCACAGCCAGACCAGTCTCTGGAAACTCCTTAAGGACAAATGTTCTGCTTTCTGTAACAAATAAATTGCAAGGAAATAAAAAATAAAATGGAGGTGAACCTTTAGATGTTTTTGCTGTTGTTAAGGGCAGTCGAGTTGGTTCCAACTCATAGCAACCCTCTCTAGGGTTTCTGAGGTTGTCATGCAGAAAAACTCATCTTTCTCCCAAGGAGCAGTTGATGGGCTAGAACTGCTGACCTTTTGGTTTGCAGTTTAGTGTTTATCCTGCAGACCTACCATGCTCCCAAAAGAGATACTTTTTTTTTTGGGGGTAAAGTGCTCTAGAGTCATTTCCGACTCATAATGACCTTGCATAGGGTTTCTTGTGGGTTTGAACTTCTGACCTTGTAGTTTGCAGTCTAGTGCTGATCCTACAGTGCCACACCAGGAATCCCTAAAATAGGCAAGTTGTTGTTGTTAAGTGCCATCAAGTCAGTTCCAACTCAAAGCGATCCTGTATAGGGTTTCAAAGGAGTGGCTGGTGAGTTTGAACCATTGACCTTGCGGTTCAAAATGACCTTGCGGTCCAGTGCTTATCCTCCAGCAACAGACACAGAAGACATAAAAAAGACAAGCAAGCAAAATTAACCTACAGGACTTCAGGCATGCAGGTGTCTGCTTTGCTTTGCTTTTCCAAGCTCAGTTTAAACGCTATGCAACATTCGGCCTCTTTGCTAATATTAAACAATAAAAACCCTACAAAGGATAAACTTTGCGTGTCCTTTAAGGCCTTATATCTGTCAGGAGGCCCTGTAGGACCCCAGCCAGCATGTAGGACCCCAGACTTCCCCTGTCATCCTTCCATGGCCACTGCAGCAGAGGAAGCCATGGAGATGTTATGGCCCTCTCTCCAGAATGGGGACAGCACATGTATGCACACACATATTACATGTATGTACACTGGGCCAGGGGGACTCCAGGCTCCCTCTGTCACCCTGGACTTCGGGGTGCTGGTCTGAAGAAGAGGTCAGGCATGGAGGACATGGTGTCTCACTTCCTTGGGCCTGACCCCCTGGAGCCTCTGCCCTCTGCCCCCTACAGATTTGGCTCTCTACAGAATTGGATGAAACCGTATCTGTGGGTAATGACACTCATGCTATTTTGGAGCTGGGCTGGGCCTGGACTGACCAGCGGTGGGGGTGGGGTGAGGGGCGGGCTAGCCTTCTCCAGCTGACAGCGTCTGCCTGTCCTTTCCTCCCCAACCAGTCTGAAGGAGGGCCAGCGTGCAAGCTGCTAGGCAGGAGCAGCGTAGGTGCAAGGAAGGAGGCCTGGAGGCCCTGTCCCACGGTCTGTGCCCGCCCCCACCCGTCCGCGTAGATGCAGGTGAGGGGGTGAGAGTATGGCAAGGGTGGGGCACAGGCCACCAAGGACCCCTGTGTTTCTAGAGGGCAGCTCAGCTGAAGGTCATGGCTGTGGGAGGCAGTGGAGCTTGGCCAGGCTGTGGCTGACAGGACTGTTTCTGGGCCTCAAGTGAGGGAAGAGGTGGGGAAGGATGACTGTCAAGTCTGAGAGTAGAGGTGGCCCTATGGAAGTCACCCACTTCCATGCCCTGGCCATCCACCCCAGAGTGGCCTGGGGGTCTGGTCGGCCCTGCCCCCAGCTCTGCAGAAATGCCCGCTGACAGCTGGGGCTATTTTGGGCCTGTTGGCTCAGCAGAGGGGACAGCCAGAGGGGCATCTGACACCTGACTCCAGGAAAGAATTTCTCCTGGAGCAAGGGAAGCAGACATCTCAGGGGTCTAAGGGAGGTACCCCATGGGAAGTCTTTTCTGCAAGGGTGTGGGCCACAGACTGTAGGTTCCATCCCAGGGGGTAGAGAAAGGGGGAGACTTGGTGAAACAGATTCAGGGTGGGACCTGGGGATGGAAGGCACCAGTCAGAAGGAAGGCATGGAGTCTGGGGAGGGTCTGCCAGTCATCTTCCACTGTGACTCATCTAGAAAATGGGCCCAGCCCTGTGAGGACCGGGGTGAAAACAGTCTTGGAAAAGTGGGGGTGGGGTTGCTGAAAAGACTGAGAGGCCGTGGATGGCCAAGGGTCAGCTGTAAGGGCTTCTGGGCATAACCCCAGGCAGGGTGGGGGTCCCCAAGTTCATGATAAGGTTGGAGCACAGCCCAGAAGTGAAGCACCATGGGACTGGGGAGCACAGGGACTGGGAAGCACATGTAGGATGCACGAGGGATGCTTTCCCAGGAAAATAGAAGGGCCTTCCCTTGGAGGCTAGAGAGGAGGATGGAGCCCAAACTAGACTTGGGTTTCCCAATTCTGAGGATGAATGTGCAGGGAGAGGAGGCTGTGGAGTGTTCCTATGTCCACAGGAGGCCTTGGGCAGCCCATTGGCCTTTGTGTTCTCATCTGTAGTCTGGACAAGGGAGTAGGAGGGTGGGCATAGCTTGGGAGTCTTTGCTGTGGGTCCTGGGGAAGCTTTCTTGGGCAAGTCCCTTGGATATATGTATCGATCTCCCAAGGCCTGTAGGGTCTTCTGCCACTGAGGTTGAGGGGCATCTGGGCAGTGGCAGATGTGCAGTCCTGCACAGACAGACAGCTGAAGCCTTGGCACCCCCAACTGCCTGGACAAGGATCTTATCCCCACCAAGCCAGAAACACTCCCTGTGTCACCTGTTGAGGGGGCTCTCTCCCTCTCAAGGATTCTGGCCATGCTCCTTTTCACCCCTTGCTCCCTCCCTTGGGTTCCAGGAATAGCCCCCACTGACACGAACTCTGGCCAGGTCTAGTGTAGGAATTGTGGTATGATGCTGGGTGTGTTAATGGGGAGGACTCAATGTCCTGCCTTTGGGGGACTCACTGACCAACCAGGGGAATTGGGCGGGTGATAGGGAGGGCTCAAAGCGTAGGGTGAGGAGCTTCCAAGAAGTGATTTAACATAGCTCTTCTACAAACAGTACACTGCAACTTTCCAAAGGGTAGGGATTTGACCAGGATGCATGGAGGCAGGTTTAAGAGGGGCTTGCTATGGATAGCTGCCTGTCTTCCCTGGTCAGCCCAGGGCATGGGGGACAGAAGTGCTGATAGCACAGTGAGTCAGCAACCTGCCACCCTGATGTCCTGGTGCTCAGCCTCCTTGCAGGGGATTAGAGGGGATTAGGTACCTGAATCACAGGCCTGGAGCTGGGGAGGCTGACTCCCTACAGGGCAACCCTTTGGGTTTGTTGGGGTGCACATCAGGGAACCCTGGTGGTGGCTCTGGTTTCTGTACATGGGATGACAGTGTCCCCCATGCCCTAAGATGTGGGGAGCCAAAACACTGTTGGCAACTCTCACAGACCCTGTGGAGGTGCAGAAAGGGCCCCCTCCTCCTTTTCAAGCACCCTGGTCACAGAGGGCTGGCCTGGCTGGGCCTCAACCTTGGGTGGGTGTAGGGTGGAGGTCAGGCTGGGGCCTTTGACATGGACAGGCCACGAGAGGACCCAGTTGTCTGGTCCTATCTCAGCAGAATGCTCAGTGAGTGGAGCCAAAGCTGAGGACTAGGGAGTGACTGACTACAAGTAGCCTACATGTGGTCCCAGCTGTCCCACCGTGGAGTCTCTAGCCATTCCTGGGATCTGACTGGTATTATCCAGTCATCCTCCCCAGTCCACACCACTGACTGAATTCAATCTCTGAACTCATCTGCTGGGAAGGCATAGGGAGGATTGGAGTGATCCCAGACCCAGAGCTGCAGGTTCTCTGAGCTTGGAGGGTGTGGGGACCATGGGGTGGGTTGGGTGAGTAGAAGGAGGGCAGTTTCTATACCTTCATTGATAACTCAAGAGTGTATCACCATGAGGGCTGGGGGTGATCAGGAGAAACCTCCATAAGCAGATGAGGCCAGGCCCTGGCCCATGCTCATGGCTTATGATGAAGAACTGTGCACTGGCTGGTCTCAATCTAGCCTGAGCCAGAGTGTGACTGAAGCATCAGGTTCTTTGTGGGAAGGGGTGGCTTAGGTGAGGAGGGCTGGGGCGGTGGGTGATCCAGTTTGCTGGAGCGTCGGGTGAGCTGGAGTGGGGTTCCTCAGAGAAACCAAGGGTGGGGTGGGGTGGGGAAGGGAACCCCTGGTGTAACTCCACACCCTCTTGTGTGCAATTGTCAGGGAAGGTGTCAGCCCCGGACCATGTGCTCACTATGAACTTCCTATTGCCAGACCTTGCTCGGGTACAGGAAGTCTCCCTTTTGAGGGAGGAAGGTGTGGGCAGATTGGAATTTGTGTCTGGGGAAGGGACAGGATATCTGAAGGGGTTCAGGGAAGGCAGGGGAGGGCCTGCATGGAAGGTGTCATTGGAGGGGGAAACCAGTCTGGGTGCAACACAGGTAGGAAACTGCCAGGGAGTTGGGGCGTCAGGTTTGGGACAGGTGTTCAAGGGACATCCAGGTAGAAGTGGACCTCCAGTTAGGACAGTGGGCTATCTGTCCTCAGGAGATGCTTCTATCAGTTAGAAGAGGCCATTGGAAGGTTAGTGAAGAGAAGCCAGATCCCAAATCTCCAGAAAGGAGTAAATCTTCCCCCTGGCGAATATGCCACCAGGTGATGCTTCCCAGGCTGGGGAGGACATGCGCAGGCACTCATGATGACTTAAGCTTGGTTCTTGTGCTCTGTACTGGGCGAAGGAGAGAGAGAGAGAACAGATGAAGGCTCACGACCTACCATTAATTCCCATCAGGAACCTACTGCCGTCACCATGAATTACACCTCATTCAGCGGCGCGCCCCGCTTCCTGACTCGACCCAAGGCCTTCCTGGTGTCAGTAGGCAAGGATGCCACGCTGAGCTGCCAAATCGTGGGCAACCCCGTGCCGCAGGTGAGCTGGGAGAAGGACCAGCAGCCGCTGGACGTGGGTGCTCGCTACCGCCTGGCTCAGGATGGCGACCTGTACCGCCTCACCATCCTGGACCTCACGCTTGGCGACAGCGGGCAGTACGTCTGCCGTGCGCGCAACGCCATTGGCGAGGCTTTTGCCGCCGTCAGTCTGCAGGTGGGCACAGACACCACGATCGCTGAACAGGCGCCGCACTTTCTGCTGCGGCCGACGTCCATCCGAGTAAGCGAGGGCGCCGATGCCACGTTCCGTTGCCGCGTGCAGGGCAGTCCGCCGCCGGCCGTGAGCTGGGCCAAGGATGGGCGCCGCCTGGGCGAACCCGCCGCGCCCGACGCCCACCGCGTGCAAGTGGAAGCTGACGGCGAGGCGAGTGCGCTGCGCATTCGCGCCGCGCGGCCCAAAGACGGCGGCACCTACACAGTGCGGGCTGAGAACCCTCTGGGGGCCGCCAGCGCTAGCGCAGCGCTTGTAGTGGACGCAAACGTGCCAGGTCCGCCAGTGGGTTCCACGGCGGCGCTGTTGGCTCACCTGCAGCGGCGGCGCGAGGAGATGCGCACTGAAAGCCCGCGGACGCCCCCCGGCGGCGGCACCCGCACGTGCACCGTGACCGAGGGCAAGCACGCGCGGCTCAGCTGCTTTGTGACAGGAGAGCCAAAACCCGAGACCGTGTGGAAGAAGGACGGGCAGCTGATGGTGGAGGGCCGGCGGCACATGGTGTACGAGGATGCGCAAGAGAACTTCGTGCTCAAGATCCTCTTCTGCAAGCAGTCAGACCGTGGCCTTTACACCTGCACTGCTTCCAACCTAGTGGGTCAGACCTACAGCTCCGTGCTGGTGGTGGTGCGAGGTGAGCTGGGTGCCCCACTGACTTCAGTCTGGTGTCTGTGTCCACTTCGTGGAAGCCAGACTTTGAGGTCGTGGTGAATCTTGCCAGTTTTGAGGCCCTGGCTTCCTGGTCGCGAAGACATGAGCCTTGGTCTGTCCTTCAGTTTTGTGAGAATAGCACGAGTAAAGAGGAAAGCAGCCCCCCTCCTCCCCACAATCTTTCTCCCCCTACCCTGCCACGTGTTTTCTGACACATTCTGGAGTTTGTGGGCAGATCTTCACCCCAGTCCTCCTCTGAAGAGAGCAGGACGGGGTTAACCTTGGAGATGACTACGACCTGATAGGAACCATGACAGCTGGTAATAAGGGACAGAAACCCTAGGAAAACACCTGTGGAGGTAACTAGCCCCAGCTCTCAGGACAGTCACTAAGTGGAGAGCTGGGGTTCCAGAGGAGGCTGGAGGAGTAGCAGGGCTTCAAACGCCCCACTTTGTCCAGTGCTCTTCTGGGGACCTGTCTGCCATGATTCCAAGAGTGTGAGGCTAAGCAGATTTGCAGCCTGTCAGAGTAGGGAACCTTGGGAGACAGCGTGCCCAAAGCTCTCTCCAACATCTGCCCTGCAACTCCCTCTGGCCACTAATCCTGCCCTGTCCAAGCTGAAGGCTGACCCTGGCCCTTCCGTTTCCCCCAGAATGCTAATGGAGGTAGGAGACAGGGCATGAGCAGGTGTAACACTTGGTGTGGTTGAAGATGTCCTGGGCCAGTCTGCATGTCCCTCTGGGCCCTCCCACAGTGCACCTCTCAGGATAGAGGGGAAGCTCCCCTGAGATGAGCCCTGGTGGCAGGTGTTATTCCCAGCCCCTCAATTGAGGCTTCTTTTTGTCAGGGGCTGGGGGTGAGACTCATTTATTATTCTCTCTTAAGAGTGTCTTCATGTCTGAGCCCACCTCCAATTTTTACCACCATAGGATCTTGGGCAGAGTGGTTGACTCAGTTTCCTAATTTTTTGAGGGGAACTATCCCTTGTTCCTTGTGGGTCCTTGTGAAGTTTGATCAGGAATGGTGGAGCTCAAGGGGCCTGGCACACAACAAGCACTCAGGAAATTTCACCATTGGTGTGATCAGGATTTCTTGGGTATTCCTGGCCTAGAATGCTAGCTCCCTATTCTGTCTTTTGTGGGGCAGAAGAGTCTGTGCTTCTCCATGGTGTTTCTTGCTTCCCAAATCACCTGTTCTTACAGAGTTTTCCTTTGGGAGGGCTCTTTCCTTTGAGCTCTGTGTCCCCTCTCTACCTTCTCATCCTCACTGTTCTCCTCTCTCTTGCGCTCATTGAATCTTGAGGGCTTTCTTCTCCTCCCCCACTTCTCCCCCTTCCTCTATGTTCCTATTATACCACTATCCTTGAGTTCTGGGCCCTTTTTTGGCCCTGTCCCTCCTTCTCCCTGCCTTGACCCCACCCCTTATCTCTGACTCCTACCCTTGATCCCCTTTGGGAGGGCTTCTCTCATGAACCTTTTCCTGGCAGAGCCCCCGGTGCCCTTTAAGAAGCGTCTGGAGGACCTGGAGGTTCAGGAGAAGGAGTCAGCCACATTCCAGTGTGAGGTACCACTGCCTGCCACGGAGGCCTCCTGGTACAAGGAGGAGACACGGCTGTGGGCCAGTGCCAAGTATGGCATCGAGGAGGAAGGCACGGAGCGCAGGTTGACCGTGCGCAACGTCACAGCTGATGACGATGCGGTTTACATCTGTGAGACTGCGGAGGGCAGCCGCACGGTGGCTGAGCTCTCTGTCCAAGGTAGGTGGCAGGCTGAGCTGAGGTCAGGGTGGGCAGGAAGTGTACCTGGGCTGGATGTCACCTGTCTGACTCTGCTCTGGATGCTCCCCCACCTTAGGTAACCTTACCAGAAAGCTCCCGAGGAAGACAGGCGTTCGTGTGGGGGATACAGCTATATTTTATGTGGAGTTGACCAACCCCGTGAGTCCTGTGCGATGGCTGCGGAACCAGGAGGAGATAGTGACCGGGGATCGACTGGTCATCACTGATGAAGGCAGGTGCCACACACTGACCATCTTCGATTGCAGCATGGAGGATGCTGGTGAGGTGGCTTTCACGGCTGGGGACTGTCGGACGTCCACTCAGTTCTTTGTGTCAGGTAAGGTCCTCCGGGAGTGCCTATTGGATTGTGTGCCTTCTCTAGTCATCACCCCTGCTTCAGTCCACTGAGCAAAAATGGACAGCAGCCCCTTCTCCCACCTCCATTACTCTGAGCTTCAACCTGAGGCAGTACAAGGCTGTGGTGGGCAACTCCAGAGCTGGGACCGTTCTGTTTTTACCATCCCCTTTCCCTCTCAGAAGTATCTAGTTTTAGAAAGTAGTTGATATGGTCACCCAAGCATCTGTAAAGTAGGAGCCACTGTGGTCCATATTCTACTAACCAAATTAAGAGATGCTTTGGAAAGCAGAAAGCTAGATTTGAGCCTGAACCATTTTAGAAGCACAGGGTGTAAACATGGATGTTTGAGCATTAATTCTGTTTCTGCTGACCTTTGGTGGCATGAATCAACTTTTTGTAGACTGGGTGGTGGGTCCCCCTCCCCCGACCAACCCTCACCAGGTTCCCCCTTTGCTCAGGGCAAGGATAGACCCCAGACTCCCTTAGAAGGCTCATTGTGCCTGGTTTTAGCTGTCATCTAGCCTGAGACCCTGATGCACAGGACTTAGATCCAAGGACTAAGATGGGAAGGAGATGTTCCACAGCTATGTGGAACAGCTAGTGGTGGTCATGGGGCCTATGCTGTGTTCTAGAGGCATCAGCACAGAGTCAAGGTGGAGATTTTGTCCCAGGCCTTACTGAGAACCATTCCAGGCCATCTGAGCAGCTCACCTATGGAGAGTTGTTGGGGGTCCAGTGACACCCTCCCCCCATCTTGGAACTCAGGCATGGGGAATTGGGTCCCAGTGAGATTCCTGTTTGGTGACAGGAGGCCTCTTCTTGGTGGGTGCTCACACTGACATGTGCACCCTTAGTCCCCAGGAGACCGCCTCTGTATCCCCCTTCCGATCCTGTGGTGAAAGTTAAGACAGAGAGTTCTGTGACCCTCGGCTGGTCTGCACCACCCGTCGGAGATCGCCCTATCACCATTGATGGATATCTGGTGGAGAAGAGGAGACTGGGTGCCTATGCTTGGAGCCGATGCCATGAGGCTGAGTGGGTAGCCACACCTGAACTGACCGTGGCCGGCGTGACAGAGGAGGGAGACTTCCAGTTCCGGGTGTCAGCTGTGAACAGCTTTGGCCAGAGTCCCCCACTCGAATTTCTAGGGACAGTCCACCTAGGTAAGGGGATCCCCAGCATGGACTATGGGGCCAGTTTGGGAAGGTCTCTACACTTTTCCAGGCTACAGAAGCAGAGTCCAGCCTCCACCTGAGGCCAGGGAACCTCTGTATTGGGCGAGGCTCACCAGGTGCTACTGCTGTGGCAGAAGAGGAGACCCTGAAACAAGACTTCAGCTCCCTGAGGGGTCTGCCTGTCTGCACAGGCCCTGGGGGCAAGCTGGGTTAGAGGGATCCTGAGGGAGTCTCAGGGTGGGTCTCATTCACCCCCACAGTGTCATTAGATCCACTGGTGCTCAGCTTGTACTTGGGCTTATTGGAGGAGGTGACAATTGGGTCTGGAGGAGGAGATGGGGAGGGCAGAGCCTAATGCCCCTTGCCTCTCCCCAGTCCCCCAGCTGGCTGTGAAAACACCCCTGAAGGCAATAGAGGCCGTGGAGGGTGGAGAGGTGACTTTCTCTGTGGACCTCACGATGGCCTCGGAGGGCGAATGGTTCCTGGACGGGCAGGTCCTGCAGGCCAGCAGTGTGTACGTGATTCGCTGTGACCGAACCCACCATACACTTACCATCCGAACTGTGCCTGCCAGCCTACATGGCGCCGAGCTCAAGTTTGTGGCCAATGGCATTGAAAGCAGCATCCGCATGGTGGTCCGAGGTAGGGGATACTCCTGGCAGGGCCCCTGCACTGGGTGCCTCCAAGTGGCAACTATGAGCCAGACTGGGGTGGGCTCCCTTGTGACTCCTTGTTTGCAACCCCGTGTCTTCCCTGAGTCTCTATGCTTTAAATAGGCCATCAGGGGTGCCACTAGGACCCATCTTCTAGAGCTTTGTAGGTTTAGTGAGCTCTGAGGTTTGGAGGGTCCGTGCATAACAATTGTAGTCCAGTCCACATGGGGTCTGTATTTAGGCTCTAGTCAGGAAAGTCAGTTTTAGGGGGGCACTGCAACCTGGCCTCCCCTGCCCCCAGGATGCCCATGGACTCTAGGAGGAGGTTCCCAGTGAGATTGCTGGGAGCATGCTGGGTCCCTGTCTAGGTGTCTAGGAGGCCTTTCCTGCCCTTCCATGGGACCCAACCTAGCTTGCGCACTCCTAGGGGCTTTGGGGTGCCTTGGGTAGACCCTTGGGAAAGTGGCTGCAGTTCAGAGGAGGCCGTCGGCCTAGTCTACTGTGGATAGGCTGCTGCTTAGTTCCTGAAGCCTCCTCCCAGTCCATGTTTCCAGTGGATTCTCCTGCTGGGAGCTCACTGGTCAGCCAGTGTGTGGCCCTGAGGAAGCTGCAATGAGGTGCTTCAAGATAGCCCATTCCCCAGTTGGCTGGGTGGTGGTTGCTTTGGAGCTGAGTATGGGAGGGAAGGAGGTTCCAGAGTGTGGGAGGCCACTTAGGGTGTTCCAAATGGTGCCAGCCTCATTTCTACCTGCCTTTCTCTCCTTCTTCACTCTGCACTCTTCCTGTTCCTCCCTCTCCTCCCCTTGTCCATTACTGTGTCTTTCTCCCTCTCCATATCTTTTCTTGTCTCTGTTTCCTTCTTGCCTTTCTCTATCTTCCCTCCATTCTGATTTCCCCCTTCTATCTTCCATTCTTCTCTGGGACATTTCTGATCTCTGGTCTCCTCTCCCTCTTCTCCTGCATCTGTCTGTTGGACTCTTGTCCATTTTGTTTCTCCCACCCCTCATGTTCACATCCCTGTCTCCCTCCATTTATCTCCCTTTCTCTCTCTCTCCCTCCTTTTTCTCTATCTTCCCACTCTTTTCTCTCCCATCTCTCTCTGCATCCTGTGTCCTTCTTCCCCTCTCTCCCTTTCCCTCCCCTCCCACCCTTACTCCTTCATCTTTCTCTCTGAATTCTGACCTCTTTCCTGTGACCCACCTCTGTCCATGTCCCCTCATCCACCTGCCATGGTCCCCCAGCAGCCTCAGCGCTGATTGGTGACAAGCTGCCTGTGGCCGCAACCCAGAAGGTGTGGGCACGGCTGCATGAAGAGGCACAGTTGCTGGCTGAGCTGTCAGACCAAGCAGCAGCTGTGACTTGGCTGAAGGATGGCCGAGTATTACCACCAGGCCCCAAGTATGAGGTGCAGGCATCTGCCGGACAGAGGGTCCTGCTTGTGCGAGATGTGGCTCGAGATGATGCTGGCCTCTACGAGTGCCTCAGCCGTGGGGACCGGATTGCCTACCAGCTGTCCGTGCAAGGTGATGAGAGTGAGGGGCTGGCTGGGGTCCATCTGCCCCTATTTGTTCTTCCAGCTCTGGGGCAGGCTTGTGAGGGATGCTTTGTGCAGTAGGAACAGTTACTCTCTCATGCTTGGTAAGAAAAGAGGTGGGAATTGGGAAGCACTTTCTAACAGTGAGTTCCTCATCCTTGGAAGTCAGTACAATGAGGCTTACCCTGTCACTGGTCAGGAGCTCTCTGAAGGAGACTCCTGGTCTGGGGGAATCAGTAACCTATAGGGTCCTTCTAGCTGGTCTGTGACATGCCTGGTCAGGGGCTGCCTGCTGCCAGATTCTGTCTGCAAACCTGGCTGCCCCTGACCCAGATTGCCTACTTCCATGTCGTTGTAGGCCTCTCCAGCTTTCTGCACAAGGAGTCAGCGGGCGGTCGTGTGGAGGCGGTAGCTGGTAGCCAGGCACAATTTGAGTGTGAGACATCAGAGGCCCACATGAATGTGCGCTGGTACAAGGATGGCACTGAACTTAGTGGCTCCTCCCAGCACTTCTCACTGGAGGATGTGGGGACACGGCATCGCCTGGTGGCAAACTCTGTAACCAGGCAGGATGAGGGTACCTACACCTGCCGGGCAGGCGAGGACTCTGTGGAGTTCCAGCTCCGGGTGTCTGGTGAGCATACTTTCCTCTGGTGTGGAGCAAAAGTATGTACATGTGACTTGGGGTCACATGGGGTGGAAAGCAGGTCTGGCTGCATCCAGCACTTTTGATCTTTGTGCAGCCCCTGAATCACAAAAGGTTCTCATGATGGGGCTATAGTTTTCTAGGATCTGGAGTCCCATTGTGGTGGATTTAGAACATGGGGACTCTCACTTGAGTGAATCTCTGACCTTGTGTCCCTCCTGTCCTTAGAACCCACAGAGGTGTTTGCCAAGGATCAGCCTGTACAGAGCAAAGTGCAGGCTGAGGCAGGGGCCAGTACCACGCTGAGCTGTGAAGTGGCCCAGACTCAGACAGAAGTGTCCTGGTACAAGGATGGCAAGAAACTGAGTTCGAGCTCAAGGATACAGATGGAGGCCACTGGCCATCGTCGGCAGCTGGTGGTGCAGCAGGCAGGCAAGGCAGATGCTGGGGAGTACACCTGTGAGGCCGGAGGCCAGAAGGTCTCCTTCCATCTGGATGTCACAGGTGGGTTTCAGGGTTGGGTGAAGGAGAAGGGACATTCAAGTGTTGAATGTAGACCCTCCAGGGCATGTTTTGGCACCTAAGGCACTCTGAGGTCAGGGCACCCTCTGTGGTGATTGGTGGTGGGCTTCTGTATCTTCTCAGGACCCATCCTGTCTCATGGTACAGAGTAGCCTGGGCCTGCACTGGCCGGTGGATGTCCCAGTACCTGCTGGTGAGCAATGGATGCCCACTGAGGCCATTTACATGCAGTCACATGGTTCTGCATGGCGTTCTCTTTGGTTTAATCTGCTCTGCTGTCAGTTAGGGACTCTGTTCAGTGAAGGGTACAGGTACAGCCGATGTACTTGTTACTGTAGCCTGGGCTTCTGATCCAGGGCTGGGCAGGCTGGCTAGGTGGTACCACTGTAGAGTTGTCTTTCAAACTAGGAGTTTAGTGGGGAATCGCATCATATGACTCTCAGTCATCATGAGGGGAGGGAGCTGATTGGATAAATTCCTGGGGTGGGTGGCCCATATGTCAGGATGGGGCCTACTGGTGAGGATGTCCAGCAAGGTTGTTCAGGCTCCTCTGTTCCCTCCCACCTCTGCCTGGGTCTGCTTCTCTGAGCCTTTTGTGCCTGGCAGTCATTGCTTTCAGTCCCTCAACCCCTCAGTAACCTCCCCCTAGCCCTCTTCCACAGTCTTCTGCAGCAGTTACAAGCTCAGTGGAGTGTCACCACACCTTTCTCCAGCTTGGCCCAGGAGGCCCTCAATGTTCTCCTGATTGGATCATACTGGCACTCAGCTTTCTTCTGATTGGCTCACACAGGGTGCTTAACTTTTGGCTTCCATCTTAACTTGAAATGGACAAAAAATACAGGTTCTGGTTGTGATGTGTAAGACTAGCCATCTCCTGACTCTTTCTTTGCTTCTGCTTTCTGTGGCCTCTGTGGCTATTGGTGCCATGGGAAGAGTGTGATGTTGCCTACCACACACAGTTCCCTTGGTGCCATGGCCTGGAAGTCCCCTGTGAGTGGAATGAGCCATGACTCCATGTCTGACAAGGAACCAATCAGCATTTGTATGACTGAGACCAGTCAGGGAAGTGAAGGAAGACCAGCTGCAGCTGAAAGCTCTTGCTGAAATCTTTAGAATATTCACCAAGAAAATGAAACTAAACCCACTGCCATTGAGTCAATTCTGACACATAGCAACCCTACATAGGGTTTTGAGACTATAAATACATCTCTATGGGAGCAGACAGCCTCATCTTTCACTCATGGAGTGGCTGGTGGGATGAACTGCCAATCTTTTAAATAAAAGATAGCCTAACCCATAGTGCTGTGGTAGAGTAGTGGTTATGAATCGGGCTGCAAACCGCAAGGTCAGCAGTTCGAAACTACCAGCTATTCCACAGGAGAAAGATGAGGCTTTCTGCTCTTGTAAAGATTTACAGCCTCAGAAACCCTGTACAGGGTCACTATGAGTCGGAACCGACTCCACAGAACATCACCACCACCACCTACCCACAGTGCCACGAGCACTCCTTAGAATATTCACAATTCAGTTTATCTGTGGGGTAAAGGTGATTATAGTTTATTTTTGTCATATTAATTCATACATTGATTTATAGTGTTATATTAATGATTACGACTCCTGGTGTGGAGCTGCAGGATCAGCACTCAACGGCTAACCACTCCTTGGAAACCTAATATAGGGTCACTATGAGTCAGAATAGACTCAGTAACACTTAACAACAATAATTAATGATTAGGAGTCTCTGCGTGATGCAAATGGCTGCTAATGGAAAAGGTTCACCCAGAGGCACCTTGGAAGAAAGGTCTGGTGATCTGCTTCCCCCTAAAGTAGCCATTGCTGTCAGAGCACAGTTCTACTTTGACACAGATGGAGTTGCCTTGAGTCTTGAGGGTAACTGGTTTATTACTGGTTAAGTACTTTGAGCATCCTCCTCACCAGTTCTGGATTGTCACTTCATTTCTTAGCTGAGCTGTGCCTCGTCTGAGTCTCTGACCCTTGGTGGATTACCCAATAAATAAGGTAAGCATGGGCTTACTTATTAATCTCTGTAATGAACAACTTTCACATTTTTTTCATCACATCAAAGATTCTGCCTCTAGATATGGCTGGCATCTGTTTCTCTCAAACCTCCCCCCCACCCTTAGCACCTTTCTACAGAATCAAACCTCTATTCAAATTTACCATCCTTGACAGAAACTGAGCGAATACCCAGTAATGTGGTGAAAAACATTTGAAACTGTTCATTACAGATTCGGGAGTAAGCTCAAGGAAGTTGCTGCATAGCTTGCTTATTGAGTAATCTGCCCCTGCCAGAGTTCATGGAGGTAGGGGTCAGCACCATGCTGAGCTGTGTGTGGAACTGTGAGAGGTGATCCAGGTTCTGATGGAGGTGATATGGTACAAGGATGGAAAGAAACAAAGTTCAAGCTTAGGGGTGTGTGTGGAGGCCACGGGCCCTAGGTAGTGGCTAGTGGGACAGTAGGCAGGCCTGGCAGATGCTGGGGACTACAGCTGTAAGGCTGGGGGACAGAAGGTCTCCTTCCACCTGCATGTCACAGGTGGGTCCTCTGGAGCATGCCTGGTACGTCTCCAGATAACAGGGTTACGTCAAATCTTTGGCCATGTTCTCCTCTGCTTGTCCTTATTTCTGGCCACAGATTCTCGATCCTTATTACACATGCACAGGAGGGGAATGAGGGGCTCAAAAATGAGGGGCTCCTCAGATTGGTGCTGACCTCCCCACCTCTGAGGGTCTCTTTTCTGTGTAACTAGTACTTTGAAAAATTGAGTACTCATGATGTGTAATTAAAATATGCACTTTATGCTGTCTTCGACATTCCTTTATTATTTATTTCATGCCACAAGTCTCCCTGTTCCTGGTTAAGGCTTTGGCTAGACCTGTGGCTTTTCGTTTTCTTCTCAGGTAATAAACGTTCTACTTTAAAACCCCAAATCAAGCCCACTGTCATCAAGTTGATACTGACTCATAGTGACCCTGTACAGAGTTTGCAAGGCTGTAAATCTTTCCAGAATCAGAAAGCCTCCTCTTTCTCCCAAGGAACAAGTGGTGGGTTTGAACTGTTACCCTTGTGGTTATAAGTCCATTGCTTATCCTACAGTGCCTCAGTCACTTTTAGGGAGTCCCTTTTCAGTTTATAGCATAGAGGGCTCAGTTCCATGTGGTCATTAAAACTCCAACTTTAGTTTTGTCTTCTCCCTTCCCTGCCCTTCCCTCTTCTGCCTTTACCTCCTCATCCAAACTGCTACCTGTATTTTGTGCCTCCTCCAGAATGAAAGTTTGGGGAAGAAAGTATCCTCAGGGATTCATATTCACCAAGTACTGCTAAAAGATGCTCTTCCCACCCCTTCTGGCCCACCCTTGTGGTACTTTTAATATTCTTCGCTAATACCATAATTCAAATGGACTGATTCTTTTTAATGGTCTTCCTTATTCATCTTCCAATTTTCACATGCACATGAGGTGATTGAAAATGCTTGGGTTAGGTGCACCTTAGCCCTCAAGGTGACATCTTTGCTCTTTAACACTTGAAGGAGGTCTTTTGCAGCAAATTTGCCTAATGCCAAATAACACGTTATTTGATTTCTTGACTGCGGCTTCCATGAGTATTGATTGTGATTCCAAGAAAAATGAAATCCTTGACAACTTCAGTCTCTTCTCCCTTGTATTTCATCACTGCCATGTTTTGAATCTCTTTTGCTAGAAAGAACTTCTTCCCTTATAAAGATTCATCTAATTAGACCCAACTCATCCAGGATAAGCTTTCCTTGGATTAATGTACATCAGCTTGATTTGGGAGCTTAATTAAATTTGCAGAATCTCTAACAGCAGCACCTAGATGGCTGTTTGAATCTCTGAGGAAGATGAGAATCTTGGGGGCATCTTAGAATTTTACCTACCAGAAACAAAATCTTCCCTAGAATCCTTCAGTAGATTTTCCCTATATATCCTTGACTTTGTGTAGGTCACAGGGTTGTCTCTAGCTCAAGCAGCCTGGGAAAGTGGACATTTTGCTTTCCAGTCTCGATAGTGGGGCTGTCGAGAAGAAGATGGGTCATTGGTGGAATGGGATGGCTTGAGATGTTTGCTCTGGTGTCTGTTTAATAAGAGATGGTATGTGGGGCCCACAGCTGTCATTTGCTCTTGTGTTTTTTGGTTCTGCAGTGAAGCAGTGTAGTGGGGTGGAAGTCAGGGATTAGAATGTGAGTGTGGGGTCTGACTGCGAGGTCAAACCTCATCCTGCACCTTACTAGCTCTGTGATCTTGGGCACATTGGTTGATGTAGTGGGTGGAAGTGTCCCCAGGAACTCATGTTCAACTGTAACCTTAGAATGTGACACATTTAGAAATAGTATCTTTCAAAGGATGAGATGATATCATCACAGCTTGGGTGGGCCTTAAATCTAATGACAAGTGTCTTTATAAGAATCAAAAAAAGAAAAGGTCGTGTGAAGACAGGGATAGAGATTGTAGTGATGCAGCCACAGCCCAAGGAACACCAGGAATTACCAGAAGGTGGAAGAGTCAGGGAAGGATCCTTCCCTAGAGCCATCAGAGGGAGCAGGGTTTGGCGCCAACACCTTGATTTTGGACTTCCAGAACTGTGAGAACAACATTTCTATTGTTTTAAGTCACACAGTTTGTGGATCTGTGTGACAGCAGCCCTAGGAAATCAGTAGTTGATTTCTCTTACCTCAGTTTCCTCATCTGTCAAATGGGGATATTAACAGTTTTCCTCGGCTATGCTGAGGAACTTTGCTGATCCCAGGTAGACCAGTTCCTCCCCTTCCTAAAATGGCAAGCACCTCTCTTCACAAGTCACTGTGAATTATGACTACTGGGATTGTGGGTTTTGGGAGTACATTAGGTTGGAAAAGAGAGTAGAGTTTTCTTAGTGGAGTAGGGGGTCCAGGCAGGCTTAATGGAAATGAGTTTTGAGAGATGAACAGAGTGTTAGGTGGTGAGGTAAGGGTGGGCAGGGAGGGCACTGCAGGTAGTCAGAAGAGCCGCTAGCACACACAGTGAGCTTCAAGATCCCCGGGAAGGTCCCAGCTGAGATAGTGGTTAAGGTGTGAGGGAGCAGTAAAGTGGGTGCACTTCTCAAACCGAATAGCTAATTGCTTTGGAGGAGAAGGCCTGGACTTGAATCCTGACTCCACCATCACTTCTTGGTGGGGTCTTGGGATAAGCTCCATCAGATCAGTCAGTCTTAGTATTCTCATTTGTAAAATGAAATCTACCCATCATTAAGGGCCATCTAGGAGTCCTGGTGTGGTGCTGTGGGTTAATGCGTTGGACTGCAAAGTTGGTTTGAACCGCAAGGTCAGCATTTCAAGCTCACCAGCTGCTCCTTGGAAACCCTATACCTGGTCACTATGGGTTGGAACCAACTTGATGATACTTAGCAACAACAACCAAGGCAATTAACTGAGGTGATGTTTGTCATGGGTTGAGCATAGGATTCAGGATGGCCTCATTTGAGCTGCCTACACCAGTTATTATTCCTTAAGGGGCATGTTGTATAAAACCAGGGAACAGGCAGGCATTTTTACAGACTAACAAGGGAACCATGCTTGTCTTGTGTGGGCCAGAGTGTTTGGGTGGCTGTCTGGAAAGGGAAAACTTAGTGTTCAGGGAGTGGATGGAGACAGGCTCCCTGGGCCCCTAGGACATGATGATGTGACTTTAGTGAAGGCTTAGGGAGACCTGTGGAACCCAGTGTTTCACCCAAATCTAGCCATTGGCAACCCAGGGTGTTATTTTGTATTAGGTTTTCTTTAAATTGGTATTGTCAAAATATATATGCCTATATAAGCTTCTTAAAGGAGCTCTGGTAGCGTAGTGGTTATGAATTGGGCTGTGAACTGCAAGGTCAGCAGTTCGAAACTACCAGCTGTTCCATGGGACAAAGATGAGGCTTTCTGCTCCCGTAAAGATTTACAGTCTTGGAAACCCTGTACAGGGTCGTTATGAGTCGGAACCAACTCCACGGCACATAACAACAACAAGCTTCCTAAGGAGTTCTGGAAGCGTAGTGGTTACTAGCAGTTCAAAGCCACCATGGGATAAAGATGAGGCTTTCTGCTCATGTAAAGATTCATAGTCTTGGAAACTCTATAAAGGATCACAAATGAGTCGGAACTGACTCCACAGCACCATATAAGCCCCTTCTCGACAACACTTAGCAACATCATCACCAAAGCCCCTTACGAGCAATGCTACCTGTGGAGTATTGGATATGAGAGGCAAATTATTCCTGATGTGGTGCTGTGGGATATTGCACTGGACCACAAGGTCGGTTTGACCACAAGGTCGGTGGTTCAAATTTACAAGCCGCTCCTGGAAAACCCTATACAGGTTTGTTATGAGTCAGCGGACTTGATGGCACTTAACAACAACAATGCATTCCATCAGGGGTACCTGCCATATGCCAGCCCATGAGAAAGAAGGAGCTGGAAAGCAGGGTTTCATGGAGAGAAAATGGTACCCAAACAAGTAGCTTTCAAATTCCCTTGTCTGCACAGGGCTTCATCTGTACCAGTTAATTCTACATTCTGCTCTTTTTTGTTTGTTTAAAAGGATACTTTACACATAAATGGAGCCTTAGTGATGCTGCTAACCAAAAGATTGGCAGTTCTAACCCAGCAGCTGCTTTTTGGGAGAAATATGAGACTGTCTGTGCCTATAAAATATTTAGCCTTAGAAAACCTGCGTAGGGTCACTATGATTCAGAATTGACTTGATGATAGTGAGGTTTTGGGGCTTGGGTTTACTTATAAACATTCATTTATGTTTTGCTCTACTATCTTTCATAAGGTCTTTGATAACTCAGAAGTGCCAGGGATTTGGGGGATTTCAGCATCATTCTTTCTTTTTATGTGAAAAACTATATAAATAGGCATTGTGATGGCCAACACCAATCCATTTCAGCTCACTAATGCCAAAGATGTGAATCTTTATGCATTCCATTTCATTTTTGCTGACTTCCAGTTTTCCTAGATTCAACTGTACAGTCCACATTCCAGTTATTTATGAATGTTAGCAACTGTTTCTCCTCATTTTGAGTTGTGCCACATCAACAACTGAACGCCCTGAAAGCTTTGCTGTATTTACATGATTTTGGTCAGTGCTATTTTGGAAAGTCGTCAAAATCAAAATGGAATACATAAAGATTGATATTGACCATTTTGAATTGGAAAATCATATGGTTTACTATGCTGGGAATGATAAACTGAAGAGCAATGGCATCATATTTCATCATAAAAAAAAAGTATTTCAGGATCTATTTTGAGGAGGCTGCTCTCCCCCAGTCAGTATTTTGAGTGCCTTTCAACTTGAAGGACTCATCTTCTTTCTCGATCTTTTATTTGCATAGTCCCACCTCAACAAGGGAGTCCTGGTATGGCACTGTGGGTTAATGCGCTGGATTGCAAAGTTGCTTTGAGCCTCAAAGTTGGCAGTTCAAGCTCACCAGGTGCTTCTTGGAAACCCTATTCAGGGTTGCTATGGGTCTGAATTGACTCAGAGGCACTTAAGAAC